AGCATGTTTGGTGTGACGGGAATTCGAACCCGCGGCCCGCAGATTGCGAGTCGAGTGCCCTAACCACCTGGCCATGCCGGGCCAACCCTTACCTGATGATGACCCGATACTATGGATTGAAACGTTGTAATTATTAAACTCACAACTTGCCTACTGCAAAAGTTGCTGTTAATATATTCTTGAAGTAATTATTCAGTTCATCAGATTCCTTGACTGAACGTTAATTTTTCAAGGTTTATTCTATAGTTGTGTTATAACTATCTAATATACAAAATGGCCGATATTTTCAAGAAAAAAATGCCAGCTATACGACAACAGTAATTTACTAATGATAAATAAAACACCTTTTTTAGTTGGAAGCTATGAAAACGTTCTTACCCACTGGAATAAGAAGGAATTTACAAGCGTCTTTCTGTATTCCCACCGCGTTTGTTCCTCTACATGTAAAGGTTCCAAAGTCACTTTCATCTGTGGGCGAAAACCGTGCAATGCTCCTTAATCTGAACCTTGTGTGTGTAAGGATTTCTCTTTCTTGCTTGGAGTTATTAAAGTTCCAAAAAAAGGTGACGTCATCAGGATCAGCAAGGACATCACATTGGATTCTTACAATTTCTCCAACCATTGCCGTATAGAGTTTTGTCTGCTGGTGCTTACACACAGGTTTATCTGAAATATCACGTACGTGTAGATTTCAAGAAACGGCCAGATACAAAGAAGTTATTTCACAAATTTATTTATATTCACCAAGAAAGACTGATAGATATTTTCTTTACAAGTTTTAATTTTTACTTATAAGTAACAACTGTAAAAATATTTTCCAGTAATTAATAACGAGTTTATGTTATATTATGTATACGTAATAAAAAAAAAACGTTTAATTAGGTTCTGTGACAGATGTTTTTCATAGAGAGTATATACTAACAAAACATAATGCTAGATTTTTAAAGCTAAGTTTTGAAATATTTTTATGATAAGAATTCTATTTAGATATCTTTGGAATGGAATTTTTTTATAACATATGGATGTAATAAAAATGGAAATGATAAATAATTCAACTTACATTTGATATTTAATTCCATATCTTCACTTTCTGTTTGGCCTTCTGAGTTCACAGCCAAACATCGATAAAAACCACTCTGTTCTCGACTAACATTTTCTAGCCGAAGGGACTGGTTATTAATGATTATTCCGTCTTCGGAGTTGTTCTTTAGTTCATTTCCCTGGAAAATCCACGTTATCGCTTTGACCGAGGGATTTGCTTTCACGCTGCAACTAAGATACGCATCGTCATTTTCATACACAGATTGAGACGTTCGACCGCCTAGGAGAGATACGTGGATCTGTGGCTTAACTATGGAAAAAAGAGGCACATGTTAAAAAGAAAAACTGTTTATGTAAACTTTTACTGACTATTGTTAATTTCTGTTTTTTTTCTTACTTTTTTAAAACTGATGAAGTGACAATAAGGACTTATTTTTCTTTGTAGCAGGACTCTTCCGAGTTTTAATAAGAAAACAACGTAATCCTAAAATTACTCTACGTAGAATACAAAAAGTGTGCGAAATGTTCAATGTCATGAAACTGATTATTGAAATTTATCACGTGTACAAGTTTTTTTTTTGTTTCTTAGACGTATCTTTGAAGAAAATGAATCCACAGTAAGACATTCATGCAATAACAACTAAAGAGAAATATAAAACTGTTCATGTTTAATTCAAAGTTTACAAAAACAATAACTGAATCTAGATTAACCCGTTAAACTCCAATGTAAACAAAAACAAAACCCTACCAATATCTTAGATTTAGAGATTTGTGTTCAAAGCAAATGGTCGAACTTACAGTATACACTTAAAGTGATGAAGTCTTCTAAACTGCTGCCTTGTATCTTAGGGTTGGTGACTCGACAAGTCAAATTTTTTCCATGGTCTCTACTAGAGGGCGTAATCACCAAAGTGCCAATACTTATATTAGGCTGGTGGGAAACACTGGAGTGGTGCTGTCCCAAAAGGGCGTAATTCTTCCACCAGCTTATGTGAGGTTCCGGTCTAGACCCACTGGTTCTACACTCGAAAGTGTATTTCCAACCAGCCTTGTAACGGGTTTCAGTTGTAAGAAGTCGTACGTCCAACGGCTTCACTGGGCAAGAAGAGATTACTGCTTATTACTGTTGCAATAAAACAAGGGTTTTCTGAAACTGTGATCTAAAGTAAAATTTCTCAAACTGGGGTGCGCGAGGGTATTCCAGGGGTTCACGAGTCATGTCCGAAATTTCATAAAAATATTTAAATAATACGATGTGTAGAATATAAAAATATTGCTCGTAAAATTAAATAATTTAAGAATTAAAATATTTCATTTTGACATACAGCTTTCTATGTACACGTAATATTTTTCTCGAAACAAAACAACAACAAAAAAAACATCGATAGGTTTGGGGGTCCGCGAAAAACAAAATAAAGATTAAAAAAATTCCTCAGGTTACTAAAGTTTAAGAACCGCTGATATAAAGTTAAAGCATATTGTTTCTCACCCGAATAGTTATATAACAACGATTTTGGGTCAGGAAGTTATAATTATATCTCGTAAACTTTTTTTCAGAGGTGCAGGAGGAACTTGTTATTCTTATTCCTCGATAAGAGAAACAACACATTTTTCGTACTTAATTTCCAACAAAGAACTCTAGGCGCTTGCAGTAGGTATAAGGCCTTATAATTACTTTAACGTTTTCTTAAATTTGTATAACTTTCAAGATATTTTCGTGAAAAATATATCAACTATAATGAAATAAAAACAAAACAAAATGAACACACACACGTATATATATATGTGTGTGTGTGTGTGTGTTCAAATTTCTACAGAACTCGAGAGAATCGTGTTCTTAATTAATTCCTTTATTTTCATTCTTCTAATTTTGCCTTTTATAAGCGTGTTAATATATAGTCGAATCTCAAGCGAATCATCCCAATTTACATTTAAGCAAAAAATCTATTATCTCCTAAATCAACTCCACACCCTTAATGAAATGTGCTGATCAACTAAGTGTATTAATCACTTACGTTTGAGCGTTTGGTATTGAATGCACTTTAACAACAACAATGTTTGGAATAACTAGTGTTTCACAGGATGTGTTTATTGGCACTCTACTTTAAGAGACAGTTGAGTTTAAATTTAAGATGAAGAGCTGATCGTTACTGTGATTAACGACGAATAGGAATATTTGTTATATCATATTTTCAACGAGTTTATAAAAATATAAAAATATTAATTTTGGTAACAATGCTCAGGAGTATCTTTTCTTGTTTGTTTGTTTGTTTTTGAATCTCGCGCAAAGCTACACGAGGGCTATCTGCGCTAGCCGTCCCTAAACTAGAGGGAAGGCAGCTAGTCATCACCACCCACCGCCAACTCTTGGGCTACTCTTTTACCAACGAATAGTGGGATTGACCATCACATTGTAACGCCCCCACGACTGAGAGGGCGAGCATGTTTGGTGGGACGGGAATTCGAACCCGCGACCTTCAGATTGCGAGTCGAGCGTCTTATCCACCTTCCCTCTAGTCTTACACTGCTAAATTAGGGACGGCTAGCGTAGATAACCCTCGTGTAGCTTGGCGCGAAATTCAAAACAAACAAACAAACAAACAAACCCTGTTCAATGGCTTCGTGCTTTGGACTCGTAGTCGGATGGTTGCATCAAGTTGTGTGTCATTAAGCAAGGCACTTCAATTCTTATAGTTGACCCAGCTATAAGATGGGTCCCAGCTGTTAGCTGAGGGTCACTATTATCGTCCGCTTGTGCCGCTTGAAACCAGAATACGAAAGCACTGACCCTGTTTACCTTGGAAAGGCACGGCAAGGATTTAACTATTGTTTAACTATTTTCCCATCCATACTTACACACGAAATGCATTAATTTTCTTGGTTTTCATAGTAACCTAATTTTGAGAGATATTTCACTAAGCTCTTCTCTAAATTATTTTAAGTGATAAATTAAATATAAAAATTAAGAAGTAGTTTTTCATGTAACTTCGCATTGATTATCTTGACAAAACAAAAGAGAAAAGAATATTTCTTGTGAGATGAACATTTTGAAATAAATTATTTTTAGTTCGAATTTTTCTTTATGTGCTTTAATATTTTTTAAGGAAATTTCTCGCAAGTCAATCCTTTTTCTGTAATTTAGGATTAAGAATAATTTTTAAATCATGGCGCGAGAAATGATATCGCCGTTAGTTTTACATTTAGTTAGAATACACACAGTCTAACCATTCATTTCAAAATTCATAAACTAATTCTGAATACCTGAATATTTCATAATAAAATAGGTTTTTTAATTAAACTTCTAAGGAAGACTAGAGGTGAAATAAAAAAAAGGAATAAATGCCTCAAGAATTCAAAGAATTATAATCCTAAAGACCAGGTTATGATTTTAAAATTTATTTTTACTAATTGAACTTTAATTACGGGAAAACGTCTTACCAGAATGAGTGAGTGGATTGAAAACTTTAATGTACTTTAAGAAACTTTGAAACAAATTAACACCTGGCATGGCTTGGTGATTAGGGCGCTCGTTTTCAGCCGTGGAGACGTTATAATGTGGCGGTCAATTCCATTTTTTGTTGGTAAAAGATTAGCCCAAGCATTGGCGGTGGCTGGTATTGACTGGTTGAGGCCCTCTAGTTTATAACTTCTAAATTAGGGATGGATAGTGCAGATAGCCCTCGAGTAGCTTTACGCAAAATACAATAAACAAGCAGAAACAAGTTTGTATATTCGTTATAAATACTTGATGATTAGTTAGAGAAGTTTCTCAGAGGAAGCAAATAGGTATAAATCCGTTAATATATTTTACATGTTCGTTTCTCTGTGAATTTATTTCATATGATTGCTAATTTTGTCTATTTCAAGTACTAACGACTGGTTTCAGTGGTATTTGGTATTTACAGTATTTACAGCACTTTGTACGACACATGGGTTAAATAGCCAGATCAGTGAGCAGGCAACTCAGCTAGTAAAAGCTGTTCATAATTGACAACTGCCGACTAGAGGGAGGAGAATGAGTCAGCAGTACCTTCCGCCTACTCTTAATCACTTTTAATAGCACGAACACTGTTTAAAGTAACGAACGTGTTCAACGACATATAAAAAGCTCGAAACGATAATCTTTCAATTATTCTCGCTCCTGGTTGAGCCCACGCAATATAAAAACCTCTCTAATACGAAGAACAAAACAGAGACAATAAAGTGGGACTAGTATATGTTTTTTACTTATTATACGTTGAGAAGAATTAGTTGTGTGTTTCTGAAAAGACGCTTTGACACGATTAGTGTCATAACCAAGCAGAATTAAAACTACGAGATATGAGAAAAAGAAAACTACTTAAAAGTCACTTTTCTTCATAAGTTCAAACTGACATACAACTACTTTAGCATTTTACGCCCTAATTAGCAATGAATCTCTTTAGAAATTATTTTCGAAAATTAAAAAAAAAATCATTTGTGGTCACTTTGGAAGCGGAAAAACATTTTAAATCGTATTTAAAGTGATTTTAGCTTTAAACGTAAGATTCACAATCACTTTTTACGAAGGTAAATGTTTCCAACTGCAAAGTCATATAAAGAAATGAATACCTAATGACCGAGCAATAGGCCAGGAGTCTATAATATATACTATATATATATATATATGTCAAACTACGGGCGCTATTTGCTCACTATTTTGACCTACAAAAAGATGCGTTACTAAGTTGATTTTGTTCGATATATTAGATACCATCTTTGCTATATAATTTATGTGATTACGTTAAAGTAATTTCAAATATTATAAAAATTATTTATTTACACAATATTCAATTAATATGCAATTGTTATATCAATAAATATTTTTGGCTAGTGATGCATATTAAAATAAAGTTTTTAATCTCTTTTGTCGATTATGTTGAGAATCCAAATAGATAAACAGATAAATATTAGAGAAGTATGTTATTCAAAACTATGATGACAGTGAACAGGAAAGCATTAGAGAAGTTGGTGTTAGACTAGTGTTAGAGAAGTAGACTAACTATTGAAAACTATCATGACAGTAAACAGACTGGTGTTAGAGAAGTAGACTGACTATTTAAAAGTACCATGACAGTAAACAGACTAGTGTTAGAGAAGTAGACTGACTATTTACAACTATCATGACAGAAAACAGACTAGTGTTAGAGAAGTAGACTGACTATTTACAACTATCATGACAGTAAACAGACTAGTGTTAGAGAAGTAGACTGACTATTTACAAATATCATGACACTAAATAGACTAGTGTTAGAGAAGTAGACTAACTATTTAAAACTATCATGACAGTAAACAGACAGGAATATGGGAAACCCACAGTTCAAATCGAGAAAAACAGCGGCAACAATCGAAGAAGTCAGGTTCGAATTCCACACTTGACATAACAGCTCGGCGTTCAGATCAGTCCTAGCGAGACGCTGAATCACAAGTTCATTTACCACCTCTTCATCGTTTTCTTTCTCATGTTCTTTGTCAAAAAGTTGCTTCCCTCTCCACCACGTTACAGACGGGGGAGGCTTTCCTTTAAGAAAATAAAACAGTTTTATTTACAAATAAGTTTTTTTTTAGTGAATCAAATTAAGTTTACACATAAAATGTCTTTCAAAATGCTTTTAAATCACAGAAACAAAATCCTGTTCATCCTACTGTTAAGTTTGATCAAATAAATAGTCTAAAAATATTTGAAAAAATAAGGTTTTAATTGCTGTGAAAAAAGAAGAGAAAGAAGTTATTAGCGTTTCCACAAAACAACTCTCACTGAGACACAATATATATTGTTTGGCTAAAACTTTGGACCACGTATTTTTCTCTCCTTAAGAGATTTTCAACTTTAGTCTTTTTGTATCTTTTTTGTTTATCATTCTAAAATATTGTTGGGTCTTCGAATTACTTAAAGATTTGTTTAGTTAAGAATTATTTATCAGTCTGGCCATAATAAGAATGATAACACCCGTTAAACTAATTTCAAATTCAGTTAGAAATACATGAGATGATCGGCCTTTAATAAGTCTCCCGGTGGGAGAGCGGTAAGTTTATAGACTTACAACGCTAAAATGAGGGGTGCGATATCCCGCTGTAGACACAGCAAATATCCCAATATGACTTTTCTCTAAAACAAACAAACAAAGCATCTATATAAATATTTGTTTTACATTTCATCATATGGTCCTACTGCGAACCGCTGTTTACAAATTAAATATAGTCTAGCTAGCGGATATAATGCTCTAGGAGTCTAGGTCATTTGAATGACATTATGGTCATTCCAACTTTCTATCCTAAAACATCTGTTGCTTCTATTCATTAGGGGCACTTCCATTTAGTTTAAAAAATATATATAAATAAAAATAAGTGAACAGAGTGAAAAATATGCTTTGAAACGAATGAGTTTGAATATTATTCCAAACGTTTTATTTTTTCTTAGAATGGATTATTTTATTTTACTTCTTATTAAAAACCTTTGTCAATTTTTAGAACTATCTTTGAAACTAATTGTTCATTCTTCGTATTCATACCTGTAAAAATATTATTTACTAATTATTTCCTTAAAACATAAAACGATATCGGGTTTTCTTACGCTTAGGACATTAATTACTTGGTAACTCTTGAAGTTTCGAGACGAGTAGAAATACTAACGAATTTTAATCAAATTTTTCAAACACAACTTCACTTATTTTTTTACCTAATTTTTAGCTCATGACAGAATATTTCTCTGTTAGAAATATAAAGCACTCAAAGGAATTGTTAGCACAGTACAACGACCTCATCTCTGTAACTTTTCATAAGTTTGATTCGCACGGGAAAGATACAATAATCATAATGATAACGTGCTGCATAAGTAAGAAACACGACTACATGAAGACTTCTTTTGTTTAAACTTATGTGAGCTTTGAGATCTCAGTTGCACTTTGGTCATAATATCTAACAAATAATAGCATAATAAAATCAAAGACATAGTAGTGCGTTTATAATGTGAAGACAAATTAGGTTGGTCGTGGTCAAAGAGCAGAATTTTGCTGTTTTTCACAATTAGAATTAGAATAGCAAACACATCTTGCATTTTTCATTGATTTATACATGCAACTACCAATCGAACCAGTCATTTTCATTACGCCCCCCAGTGGCACAGCGGTATGTCTGCGGACTTACAACGCTAGAAACCGGGTTTCGATACCCGTGGTGGGCAGAGCACAGATAGCCCTTGTGTAGCTTTGTGCATAATTAAAAACAAACAAACAAACATTTTCATTAAAGGATGAAAAGTAACATAATAATTTTACAGAGTAATAAATTCAAATATAGTGCGATCTATTATTTTTTTATTGCTACTTTATTAACAGTATATTTGTTGGATTGTTTAACGTACCTACTGTTATTAGTTTTATTTTATGATTATTATACTTTTATTACAGAGATTGATTTGCATTTTGAGCTTAGTATATGCATTTATGAATAATCTAAATCTCCTAACCTGGCCGAACCTCTTGAAATATTATTGTATTTATGGCCATAAATATCGTTAACAGGGAGAGTATCTAACTGATGAAATAATTCATTCTAAGCTATATAAGTAAGAAAATAAGAAAAATATATTTAATTAACTATACTGATTACCGAGTTGTTGTTGTTTTAAAGCTAAGTGTATAACTTACTCTGATTGGACTATCTGCTTGTATTGCTGAATTCCGAAGAACATTAATCGAGGGTTATATGCTCTAGTAAACCCTAAAAGGAAGGTGAACATCACCCACCGCCTACTCTTGGACTACTCTAATGAGATAGTGAGATTTTACCTTAACTCTTATAACGCACCCACAGCCCCAGAGTGGCGAGCACGATTTACATATATATTTGTTTGGCTTTAAAAGAGCGCAAACAATGTAGCATCGTATCCACAGTCCAGCACGTTAACCAATTCGCGGCGTTCGGCTCCGCTGATTGACAGTTAATATTACCTGGCGTACCAAATTAACTTGTTTGTTTGTATGTTGTTAACCACAAAGCTACCCAATGGGCTATATGTGCTCTGCCACCACGAGTATCGAAATCCGATTTTTAGCCATGTGAGCCCTCAGACTAACTGCTGAGCCACTAAGAGGCTAAAATTAGTTTGTAAAAAAGTTATGAAATATTTTATCTTCAATATTTTTCATATATTTAAAATTACAATTTTCATAACAAACAGTTATATATTTCTACATAGCTGCAATGTGTTGCACTATTTTTTTTTCTCATATTGCAGCGTTACAAAGAAATTTTTTCAGTGGTACAAAAAAAACCTATTATGGAGTTAAACATAATGGAATTAGATTAATTTTATTTAGTTTGGATTTATTATTCAGCCTATTTAAGTGGCAAGCTGACTTACATTGTCTTTCTTTTACAAGTTAGTATGAGTAACTAAATTAAATACTTCACGTATATACATATTTTTAAAATAATCAATTTTCATTGTTAGCCTTTTATTTGAACTGATGAAGCAAACCCCAATCCATAAGGACTTTAATAAAACGAGAACAAATGAAATTAGTTTCCTTTTTTTACCAAGTATCCATTTTATGTGCTTTCGATTTGTTTCATACGTTTTACTGCATCTCAAATAATTGGATTTATCAGTGTTTCACCAAAGAAACATCTTCAAAACCATCCAACTTTTTCGTTTTTAGAACGCTTTTATCTATCTATAGATTGTTTTACAACAAAAGCTCACTCGAATACTTTAAAGTTCGGTCCACACTGACAATCATACAAACCACGAGTTCACCCACTCCTAGCGCTTCTACAACTATACCTCTAAAGACAAAGTTACACAGAAAAAAAAAGGTTTATATTTGTTGAACTACGTTTAAAAGAAGAGAACAACTGAAAGTCATACATGCCAATCATTTGATTTTCTTTTCCTATGCATCTTGGCCTATTCTTTAGCTGGAAATATAGCGCGTATCATGCATTGGTTTGGGTATGGAAAAGTTTCTGTATTACTTGTATAGGTATTATGCTTGCATATTCTAATCTATGTTAATCTATCAGGTTCTATGCTCTTTCGTTTGTTTAATTTTTACAAAGAATCTAATATGAAGTTTCAAAAAGTTTCCAACGTAAACGTTAGTTTTCAAGAGACTGAAATCCACAAAAAGCATGGCACATCTTGTGCAGTGACACAATATTCAGTATCAAAAAAAGGGAAGTCTCAGAAAAATATTTGATATTCCTAGATAATATCGATTTTCAAGATAAATGTTCGAACAACACTTATGATGCTAAAAAAACCTTGCATTACACTGTAAACTACACTCTTTTCCTAATTTTACATCAATCACTTTGCTTGGCATGGCCAAGTGGTTAGGGCGCTCGACTCGCAATCTGTGGGTCGCGGGTTCGAATCCCCGTCACACCAAACATGCTCGCCCTTTCAGCCGTGGGGGCGTTATAAGAGTAGCCTAAGAATTGGCGGTGGGTGGTGATGACAAGCTACCTTCCCTTTAGTCTTACACTGCTAAATTAGGGACGGCTAGCGCAGATAACCCTCGTTTAGCTTTGCGCGAAATCCAAAACAAATAAACGTTAATCACTTTACGTGTTCTACGTTGTAGTTAGTATATCGTTTAATTAATACAGAGAAGCGTCGATATTCTAATGACAACAAAGTGTTAGAGAGCACAAATGAAATTCAATTAAAAATTACCTAGAACTTTTTGTTTGTTTGTAATTAAGCACAAAGATACACAATGGGCTATATGTGTTACGCCCACCACGGGTATCGAAACGCGGTTCCTAGCGTTGTAAGTCCGAAGACATACCGCTGCGCCATTGGGGCATATATAACACTACAAAACATAACAAAAATATATATAAGTACGTCTTCAAGTCTTCCTTTTTTTACTTATTTCTTCTAGTAATATTAAATATGAATAACTACAATTAAGGCCCTGCTTTATAGTAAACGATGAACTTTGCATTTCGAATAAATTATTATTTGGATGCAAAAACAAAACAACAACTTCACAATGTTTGGATTTTCTCAAAGAGCACACAGTCAAACTAAACAAGACGAACCAGTGCGTTGACAAACAACTCGTAAAATATGGGTTCGAATTTTCATACATTCAGATCAGAGGAAAACTAAAGAGCAGTTGCCATGTGTGAAATTGGATTTTTTTTTCTTTCGAGATGGGGGAGGGAGGGGGAGGACAAAGTTCTGAAGGAAATAAAGCTATCCATTTCCTGTCAGTAAAAAATATTTTTTAGATTTATACATATGGAGTTTTCTCAGTGTGAGTACTTGCAAAACGATTTTTACGTTACAAAAGCAGTAAAGTTACGAGTTTAATTATTTTATTTAAGCAGATACTGTAAGAAAGCCATAAAAGAGGGGCAAGAATAGGACTATGTGTTTAAATAAAACAATACGAAAAACAACAATGATAGATGATGATATTTTTTGAAAAATAGAGAAAATATATATTTATGATGCAAGCAGATATAGATATATATGTTTATGATGGAAACAGATATAGGTATATATGTTTATGATGGAAACAGATATACGTATATATGTTCATGATGCAAGCAGATATAGGTATATATGTTTATGATGCAAGCAGATATAGGTATATATGTAAAGTTTTGTTTTGTCTTTTACTTGCTGAAGTCATGTTTTCATTTTTTAATATCTAGCGTCCAGTAACAGATGGTTAAAGGTTAAAATACAACAAGTAATAAAGTTTATCAAGTACGATTTAAACACCGAAAGCTGTCGAAGCATTATGAACCAATAAGCTTAAAATTCCTGATAAAATCACGTTAACTGCAGATGGTTTATATATATATATATTCTTCTTAATATATCCATTTCGGAGTCAAAATTAGAGGCATGTAAAAATAGCATTTCAGATCTATTTTTTGTTTCCCATAAGTCAGTGCCTAATAGGCCAGAATTCATCAGTTGGACTGGATGATGAGAAAGAAAAGATTTACTGAAACGCCAAAAAGTTACTGTTTAAATATCGAGCTGGTGAAGCATTAGATATCTACAGGCCTACAATTTGTAATAGAAATCACACAAACTACAGATGCTATTGTTTCCTCTAAATGGCAAGTTCTGGTATTAAACGAAAGGCGTCTCGTTGCAGTAATCTGTTCGTAAGTGAAGATTGATATGATAGGCTATTTTTTACACGCTACTGATTTGGAGTCTGAAATATGAATGGTCAAAGAAAGAAAACATTTGCTGTTTACGTGATTTTAGGTATAATGGTTAATAATAAACTATATAAGTTATTCTAACCTTATAAATTTAATATTTATATATATTACGAAATTGTGATTTATTATTTCGTCACTATGTTGTAAACATATTTTAACAAACAAATCAAATCCCGAAAAAGACGTTTAACTCTGTACAGATAATGTAAGGACAGGATCTCATGTATCATACTATTTTGTTTCAAACCTGATCACTCTGATTAATGAACTGTTCTATCGTGTCCTCAAGCTCTCAAACTAACAGACTTGTAGCCTAATGCGAATCCTCAGAACACAATAGCCTGAAATTTCTGAAAACAAATTGGGTTAACTTTTTAGTCTTACATTAAATTGACAAACTTATAAAAATTATGTTATTGCTTTCTATATTTGATATTACTCAACAACTAGGTGGGAATGTTTGATTTTGAGTTAGTTGGGTATTTGGGGATGATATACTAAGTGAGATTTGTTAGGGTTAATGGATCTTTTGTTAAAAACATCCCTAAGCCTTTAGTGAGCGCAGAACTTAATTCATTGATCTTTAATGAAAGATGAAGACAAGGTTAGCAATGGTATAGCGGCTGGAACAAAATGTGTCGGAACATTCCTAACATCAGTCATGGTAGTTAGATAAATAAAATATACTTTTTTTTCGTTTCATTTAATTGAATACAACCAAACAGAATAATTCGCATTACTAACTAACGCTAACTAGCTAACTATACATGAAGTTTAACAAACTAATTAAATAATTTGAAGTAACGCGAATAGCATAATTACATTAGTTGAAATATTGTCATACGCTTACCCTTGTTTGCATTTAAATTGAAGTTTCCGTTTTTTTTCGATAAACCTTTAACTTACTTATATAAAAATAACTATAGGATGGAAGAGAATAATTTAATTTGTTTTCATTTTAATTTGGTTCTTCCAGAAGTAAAAACTAGATGATTTTTTTCACATACACACAGGTGTACAGGAAGCAAACAGTAGCCTCTGTTTTCTAACTATATCCAAATAAAACATGATAGTAACAATATGGTAACTGACAAATCCCCTGTCGTAATTTACATTATTATTACACTCTTTCTTAAATGAATAAATATATTAGGGAAGTAAACAAACTTTGTTTCCAATTATCCATACAATATTATAGCTCCGTTTTTATATGTTGGCTTGTTTTACAGCAGAGCCACATAGGGCTATCTGCTCTGCCGACAGAAGATCGAACCCCGGACTTTAACGGTATAAGGATGTAAACTTAGCGTTATCCCACCGAAGAATAACATTATAGCAAAATTCGTAGACAGCTATAAAATAGAATGTTTGGTGGCCTCCTATTTACACTCTTCTTTCAATTCTACTTTTTTACTACTTCATTTAATACGTTTTTTGCAATTGTTTTGTGAGTTGGTCGTTTCCTCAAATCCTGAAAAGCTGCGAGCATTACCGTCATCAAGAAAGATCGGTAAAGCAGGTAATATCTTAGTAGTTACAAACCAGTTAGTTTATTTCTGTTAAAAATAAAACAAAACAGTGCAAGACCGCCTTCTTAACTATAAAACATCCCTGAACATTAGAAACTGTTATGCGTTCTTTAGCAGTCTTGTTCAAGTTCCTCATTTTGTACATATATTAATCATCGATCAGTTGCTATTTGTACACAGGTTTAAAGAAATTTTTAAAAATATGCATTTATGGTTACGAATGGAGTTAGTTTATAATACCCTAAAAAATGTTTTGTCTATCTTATTCAAAGTATTTTATACTGTTCAATTAAATCTATATTAACTACAGATGGAAACAAAGTTATTTAGAGATTTTTGGCATATCAGAAATAGTGTAACATGCTATGAGTTACAGATATTACATTTCAGTAGTGCTACGAACGACTAATCGCACTCTAGAACTAGTTACAAATGCTAAACACAAAGGTATGTCCCTGCAGATGTAGCTGCATATTTAGTTCACTGCAAATTCACGACTACCCATGGGTAGATTTATAGCATGTTACATCATTTTATGGGGAAATATGTTTGTACAAAGAGCTTGTTTAATGATGTAAGCCATAGATCACAACATTTCGAAGAAGGAAGTTTTCAATGTTCTTCTTGGAACTAGAAATTCTATGACAGTTGAGTGTTTCGAAAAGCAACAATTTCCGAGTTCTCTAATAAATCCGGAGTATTGGCTTCACTCGCAAAGTGAGGGTATGGTTACTAAAGAAAATGTTTGGCCAAAAAAACAACAACGTAACAATAGATATGGGCATATATTCTGGCTCACAAGGATAATAAACAAGGACTTGAAGTTGACAAAATCTCGGAAGTTAAACGTTCACAATCCACTCTTCGAAAACAACGGCTGTCTTCAAGAAAAAAAAATGGCCAAGGAAACTGAAATAACAAAAAAGCTCATTAGACTGCATACCTGTAAAATCTTCTGATTTAACTCCAATGGATATTTTATGTTTTCGATATAATTTAAAAGTGGTAATGAAATAAACATCTACGTACAGTGGTCTGGGAAAGGTTTTTAAAGATGTGTGGTCTAAGTTTAGCTTATCACCTTTTTCAGAAGCTTGTTACAATGGAAATTGTGGTATATGGCAATAGTGTGTAATCATGGCTATCAGATTGAGTATAGTCGATGATAGAGGAAACAATATCAAGGAAAGCACAGGACTTAGATTATTTTTTTATGAAATACTATTAACCCTCAGTGTTTCAGTACATTATAATATTTGCTTTTAAATACTATTTTCTGTCATTGCTACGTAATTATAACAAATATTTTAGAGAAGTTGAATGATAGACTGCTACTTTTTCTTTTAAAACCTCTTATAATATCAAGTTGAAATGAAATTTTGAATTAGGCATAATAGCTTAATATTGTATTTCATTAATGTTACCTAACTAATAATTTATTTTGATAAAGTAATTTAAATAAACTTAATCGTATAATACATTATTCAGAAGGGCCTTTATGAATTTATAGATTCAAGAATTTTAACTTTCAAAGAAATAATAATATTGGAAATAGGAGGTCAGAATAAATACAGTTCATTAATAGCGTGCCTTAAATGTTACCGTGCATTAGTAGAACATAATTTATTTTTCTCTCATTTAAGAATATTTAAAACTTGTGTTTGAAAAACCGGATGTAATGAAATATATCAACTTTATGTAATTGCGTAAATAAATGTATTCCAGTATTTAACCCCAGAAGGCATGTCAAGTAGAAAAATGAAGGTCGTAGGGTGCATTTAACCTCATACACAACGACCCCTTTAATGTTGAATGTGACAGAATGATATATAGATCTTTTCCACTTACCGCCTCTGGCTAGACACTTGAGTCGTAGCATCGACCCTTCGTCATAAGGTCCTATCAATCTGTGAAGAGGCTGGAGGTTTTCGTCTAGAATCACGACATCTCTTGGAGGAACTGTTAAAATAACATTTTGGAGGAGTTATTTTTCTCCAGATAAAATGTATCATAACAACAGGACATTAAAAACAAATCAAAGCAAGGATGGAAATTCCAGGCGTAGCTGATAAATGTTGTTGTTGTTTTTAACGCAAAGCTACACACTTTGATATCTGCGCTCTGTCCACCTTGGTGAATTTAACCCCGAATTTTAGCGTTGTAAGCCCATAAACTCACAACTGACTCAGTGGGGAGTTAAAAATGCCAAGGTAGTTTTTATGGTTTGTTTTATTAAAAATATTACAAGTTCTACATATTCGTTATATTATATTTTTCTTTTTATAATGATGATTAAACGAATTTTGATTCCAAATGCAACCAATAACCAACAACAACAATTATTTAGTAAAATATAAAACTTGTTTGTAGTTAGTGCCACGAGACTGTGTTTAGTTAAGAACGTAAGAACTACAGTTATGATCAAAATGGACGTCACTTCACTGTTTTCTCAAAATTTAATAACCATCGATGAGTCTAAGATACAGTATTATAGAGAACTTTATCTTACCCAAAATATTTCAGAAATACCTGCAGTGTTTATGGTAATATTATTTGCCATTATCTCTTAGCTTCCTGGGATACTGTCATCAATTCTTTAGGAGGAAAAAATATTATATTTGTTTTAAGAAAGACCCACCTACCAACTACGTATAAGATGACGTTGTTATTGAGTGTTCTCGCCCAACGGTAGTCCACTCTGCAGCGGTAGTCTCCTGCGTCTTCAGCTTTAACTGGTTCTATTGTCAAAAGAGCTGGCCTAGTACGTAAGTCAAAGTGAGCTCTTTCGGCGAGGAAATCTGATGAAAAATGTTTTGCGGTTTCCAAAGGCCCATTCCTGCAATCCACGGTAAATATGGGGGCGTTGATGTCCAATCGGTACCATAGTATTAGCGATACGGAATCCTCCATCGTAGGTGAAGACACATTACAAGGTAGCTGAGCACGACCCCCCACAATGACGTTAAGAACTGGAGGGGCTAGAGTTCGAAAGAAAAAGTCAATATTTTCTTCAAAGTTGTAGATTATAAACTGCTTATTTTAACAGGAATGGTAGTTCCAAACACATCTTATTACAGACGTGATAACGTGCTTGTTATTAAATATCTACTGAATTTTTACATAATGGACTTTCTTAGCGGCGGATTACGAGAATCATTACTTAATCGCATTAATGTTTCATTACAGTTTATCCGAGTTATTGCTCTGGCTGCTCGATAGATAAACGAGTTTAATCTAACATTTTAATGGCTTTATTTTCCGCTGATTATGTGTGTACGTTTTTAAGGTCATGGTTTATTTTTCTCGGAAGTAAACTTTGTTTTTATTAACAACATCTCTCTTCGAAATATATAACCAATTAATTGACCAATCATTTGTTCTTTGACTTCTTTAGAACATGAAACTTCATAACATTTACTCTCTTCTCCTGCAGGATTTTGCTTTTCGTAATTATTATATAGAAAGCCAATCTCTTCTATAAACTTACAAAATGACTCCACAGACATCAGCCAAACCTTGTAACATCAATCGAAAAGAACAGTAAAAAGTTTCGGGTACTTATGAAAGGTAGCCGCCACTCCATCGCCAGGAGCTCAAAAACAGTTGGTTCATTCTGTTGATTAGCGTAATCGCTTTTTCATATTCTCACATTTTATCCTACCTAGAAAGAACTAAACACTTTTAGTAAGATAGATTACGGCTACGAAAACCTCCACCAGCCAACAGTAAAAGTGGCCATAAGAGTCTGATCATCATCTTGAAACACGAATGTAAATACACTAAATTACCGCGTGTTCGTCGAAATGCTTTAACTATTGGGGAACTTATTTTACACCTTGTCTTTAAATTCTTGTATCGCTACTGCTACTTCTCAAAGTACCGGTGGTAGTCCACACTATGTTATTTGACAGCTGTGTATTTTATAACATTTCTAAAGAAGAATACATACGGTGGATTCAAACTTTCAGCGAAGATTGTGACATTTTAAGTTCAGAGTTCAAAAATTACATCTTACTCCAACTCAAACTAGTGACAGTTACAGTTAAATGTTTAATTGTTACTAGTTACAATACGTCAGAATATTTTTGTTTTATGTGTTTTTTGTTTTTTTGTGGGTGTGATTTTCATGTGCTGTAGAAACATTTGTTTTTAGATAATGTTCGGATCATCCTGAAAAATTTGAAGAAACAGGTTAGCGGAATGTAATCCTTGTCTTATGAGTGCTGTGTTTCGGTAATCTAATACTCGTAGTTCACTGTAATCCTTGTCTTATGAGTGCTGTGTTTCGGTAATCTAATACTCGTAGTATTAGATTACCGAAACACAGCACTGATAAGACAAAGATTACAGTGAACTACGAGTATTAGATTACCGAAACACAGCACTCATAAGACAAGGATTACAGTGAATTCGTAGTTCAAGACGAGCTGAATATATAGCATGAACGTTCCTCTTAAAATTTTGTCTTCACAATAACCAAAGAGCACGTTATATGAGCACATATTATAGTAGAATGTGTTTAGTTTTAATGAACGATAAAAGCAGATCTTTTACAGAAAATTATTTCGGCATTTTTCTTTCATTCATTTTGAAATGTCTAATCTCAAGCAAGTCTTATTATGTCCTTGCTCTATTAAAGTCTTTTGGTAATAAAGCAGACCCTTGAATAATTATAGCAAAGAATGCAAAAGTACTTAAACTAACTATTTTGTACCATTACAATATTTTTACCATCATTTAAAGCAAGTTGCAGTATCATTTTCCCTGACCCCGTCACTGAAATTAATGAAACTACTTAGCCGTATAAGAGTTTAAACCTAAACAATAGCCTGAGTTGTCTCTGAATTCAACAAGTATAGCTTTACGAACGCATTTTGACACTAATACACAAATGCAGGCCCAGGACATAATAGCGTGAGAGCAACAGAAATTCCGACAATTATCAACAGTCTGTTATTTTGTATTTTCTCCAAAACGTAGCTTTGATGATGTAACAGTTAGGGACTGTAGTCATATTAGATCTAATCTGCCAGCCCTTCAAAATGAAAATTCCTTAAACTCTTATTTCACAGCCTAGAATTTTATAACAAGTAGGACTTCAAATCTCTTGGCAGTAAGAATTTCCAGTGGCGTCTAAAATTTATCTAAGGCTCAAAGTTATCGGTGATCGCGTGTTTGAATAAAATGCCAAGTGATTGAAAAGCCTTGAATACCAAAACTTTGATTGCATTTGGAAAGATCACTATTAGAACATGAAGATGCGTGTTTAGTTTGATTTAACAAATAGGAATTTTCTTGTAACTTCATTGCTTGTTTACAATTAAATCTAAAGATCTACGCATTCGCCATCACAAAAAGATTATTCTAAGCTTTTATAACTTAGGTACGTATTTTCCTATCTAACATACTTCTGAAACTCATTTTTGAGCTACAATCATATGTAACTATTATGAATGGTTACTCATATTTACAAGTTGTAACAAATGTAATGTGTGACTGATGCTCTGTTTCTCATTAGTATGCTTTGAGTGTTGCAGAATGATTTCCTTTTGGCAAGACACTTCGTCTTCTCGGGGGATTATTTCCGTACAAAAATCACCCAACATTCTTAAATCTTCAGAAAAGATAGATAAATTATGAGTCATACTCCATATCATTCAGTAATACTGAGAGATATTAGAAACATATTTGTCAAAAACAAAAAACATTAGCGATTGTCACTGATCATAATCGCGGTGGATTTAATTATTATTTCTAACTAAGCACAGAAATGGTTTGTAAAGAATTATAGGATACTAAGCTTAGACAATAATTTAAATTAAACGCTGAATCATTTTCTGCGTTTAGAATACGTACGTGAAATTAGTAGCGAATAAAAACTCTATAACCCGAGCGCTTTCGAAAGGTCCACCTTTCGAAGGCGCTCGGGTTGTGGGTTTTTTATTCATTTCTATCAAGACTTCTTGAACCTACGTGTTTTTCTAACGTAATGAGAATACGTGAAATTAGTGTAATTTAACTAGACACTTTAGCGTTCCACATCGACTTACTTGGACAACCCATATTAATAGTTCTGTATAACGAAAAAAAAACATTTGCTCGTTGTCTCTGGTGTCACACAATTACAGTCTATCTTAGAAAAAGCAGTGATTAAATCCTCTTTTTTTTTCAGATCCGGTACTGAAGAACATGGAGTTGAAACACTGTAACAAACATTATTCAACTGACTGGGAATAACGCCCAGAAAATCAATCACTATCAACGCTTCGAAACAAAATATATTACGTTTCTCGGGCTCTCTGTTTATAATAACCTGTATTTATAGGCACAAATTAAAAAATAAATAATATGGCTATAAATAAAGAAATACAGAAAAAAAGAGTCACATCTACTAAATATAAATACTTGGTAGTTGTTTTTATGACAATTGCATTTATTCTTTATTAAGGTTGCTACTAAAGATTAAATACGCATCTAATGTTAAGAAACTGTATAATAAGGACTATTTTGGTTTCTAATTGTTTCGATAACTCATATATTTTGAAGGAAACAACAACAAGCGATTCGTACAGGAAAGTCAAGTATTTATATCTAAGTGTAATAAATAAGACTGCAAAAAAACTCATACCTTCTCACCATATATATATATATATTCATAAATAAGATATAAACTTACGCACGACACCATCTGGAGCTCTGGCAGTTTTTAGCTCAATGCCTGGATTTCCTGGATGAGTAAAAGGAAATTTTTGAAGTTACAGTATCCATCTCAAAATGCTCCGTGTAGCGTATAAAATATAAAATACATTAAATTGAATTTAAGGGTTTATTGGAATGAAATAAAACGAGTAGTGCTGTTCATGTTTGTTTAATAAAAAACTATAAACTTGTTGGTAACAGCTGTTTACTTAGAGAAATGTCAGCATTATTAACTAGGAGTTATGGGATAGTTACGTAACACTCAAAGTTTTATTTCGTTAATACCAGAAGACTTAACACTAAGAGCGGTCAGAGCGAAAGAACACGTGAACATTTATATTAATAAAGGTCTTTCAAACTTTACTATAATAAAATTGTACATCTCATTACATCCTCTATGCTTGCTACCTTGTGTATAGTATTAAAACCAAAACGTACAGTAGTGCTTGTCAATTTCAAGTTTATAACATTTTTTATGTAAATACATTTTTAAACTCATTGCTCTTCTTCTACATAGGCTTATGTTTTACTTAATGAAATCAAAACATGTAGATATACGGGTTTCTTCTATTAAAGGGTTCTGGAAAAGATTCAAAATTTTATTAGCTAGGTTTTCTTCTTTGATAATTCCCCTGATTTCGAGCTTTCTGTAATATATTGTTCTTCTTTTTTTTCATTCAGAACAGCACATGTTCCGTAATCTATTCGTATATTTTTTACGCTACTTTTATGCATGAATTTTTATATGTGTTTGTTTGTTTTCTACAAGGAAAATAAAGCATCGAGTAATGTAAAGACAAAACATTTAATTAATTTTCTTAATGTTCTACACTTTGTTTCCCTCAACTAAAAAATAACTCAGTGAAAACATTCCTCAAAATAGTCAATTAGGATAAGGGTAAGAACGAATATTTTTTTTTCTCCTGGCCCGAGTGGATGCCAGTGTGTCTGTGTATTTGAAAAGTGTACAAGATAGAGATGAAAAAGCTTCTGGTTATTCTTAACTATTTGCTTACGGTTATGCAAAACACTGTAACAACTTTGTTAATGACGAAACGAATATTCAAATAGTTTTAAATCGCTGTTCTTCTTTATATTTCTATTTAAACGAAAGATTGGACAAAACTTATTTCATGCAATTAACTCGTGAATATTCCTTGCCTATATCTTCATTCTAGTATTTCTGGAATTAAAAAAAAAGACTCTTGATAAAATTTCATAAAATATTAAACTATGCTTATATCGCTTGCTCTAAACTAAATAACTTACTTGAAGAATAATTAAATGGTAATTTCATACATTGTAAATAGTTAATAAAATCTAAACTAATTTTTATATACATACTTTTAGTAAGAATTATTTGACTAGTAAAAGAAAGAAACATCCCAGTTGAAATTAAGCTAATAAAGCAGCTAAGTATCCCAAAAATACGAAAGTATTTTTATATCAAGACTATTAATTCATTTGGGAAATTTATAGCAAGGTTTCTGCAAGTCTCTGAGGGGATTAGGTCGTATTCTCCAAGAACATAAGGCACAGTGGTCTCATTTATCCACGATGATATTTCAACCACTCTTACATTTGCCGTTCATGCAATTAATGTAGTTGTTGTTCATACTATTAATGATAGAATAGCGCTTCTACCATTACCATGTCTGCCGTATCCAAGTAGACATGCTGAGCCCTGGCACTAAACGAAAGGCCTCGTCGGCATTGGATACGGCAAATATAGTGTGGTTTCAAATTCGATGACGAGGAACCCACATTGAGACTAATAATGTTTGGAGACGGCTTGAATGGGTAATGAAGAAAACTTTAATATAAGTTTAACATAACAGCAAATGTACAACGTTTCGACAAGGTTTTGTGATCTTCAGGGACACCGAATATGCCCGCCCTTTCAACCCTGGAGGCGATATAATGTGACGGTCAATCTCATTCTTCTTTGATAAAAGAATAGCCCAACAGTTGGTGGTGGATGGTGTTCACAAGTTATCGTTCCCTTAGTCTATCACATCAGAATTAGAGGCTGTTAGCGCAGAGTTAATATAAAACTTTATAACTCGAGAAAGGAATTCTGTAAAAGCATATAAATCATTCAGAGTGTACTAAAATTAATACCATTTATAAATCCTTTAAGTTTCCCTAATAATTCGTCTTGTTTCTAAGCGTCAACAAGCAGTCTAATGCAATAATTTTCTCGAAAGGGGGCCGAAGGTCGCCTGGAGGGGTCACCTGTTTTAACCACTCGCACCACTATACAGTAGTGTGTTGTCTGTCATTCAGTAGACACTAAAATAACGCCTAACGTTGCAATTTGTACTGTTGTAACGCCAATAAAATGTGCGCATGCCATGAATCACGAGAATAATTATGTACTTTGTAGGCTACAACATAGCATGACATATGAACTTCAAAGGAAAGAAGTAAATATATATGTTACTCTTAATTTTGGTTTTATTTACTCTTGAAACAGGACACTTTAGGGGACCCTGCGGAAGTACATCTAGTATTAAAGTACTCTGGCATTCTTGGCTACTAAAGTATGTAATAATGTCTTTTCATTTGCAGTATAATACAACTTTCAAGTAATTTGGCATTATTAGCTGGTAAAGCGTATCTTGGTGTCTAATCACATGCAGTATATCAGAGTATTTTAGCGTTGTTGGTTAATAAGCATATCATAATGTCTATTCACATATCACAATGATATCAGAGTACTTTGGCATTGTTGACTAGCAAATAAAGTATAATACAATAATATTAGCATGTGTAGCATTTATTTCAGCAAGGAATCATACAACAAACCAAATCATGAAATAATGAATAATATTTTTTTTGTTGGACTTGTTTTTCTTTTCCCTTTCTTCAACGTCTAAAACAATTAAGAAAGATTTCGACTTGCTGAGACGTCTGATGAGCGAGTATGTTTCAGTTTTCGGGTTTTGAAATATTCCACGAACCAATATATTGTGTAATAGACAAAAATGTTACCAAGTGTTTTTCATTCACGGACTTTTCAATTGTCTTTTGTAAGTTCACAACTCACAACTTATGTATTTGTTACTTAGAAAATCCAAGTACCCAAAGTTGAAAGCAGAGAATCGTCTGTTTCAATTACTTAATTTTTAAGCTAATGCTTGCTTTGCATATTTGACTACTGCACGAAAAGTATGCAGTTTCTTTCTTGATTCTTATATTTTTCAGAATTCCTAGGATGTTGTAATTTTTTGCATATATTTTAATTCAAAAATATTATAATAGATATATTTATATTATAGCTTGTTAATGAATTTTTTAAACTTCCTCAGTTTAATTACGCCAATTTTACCTAGACTAGCTGAAGATACCCGTTAAGGTAGCAAAAATTATATAAAGGATAATGTTTCCATCCCTTTCTTTTTTGTTATTAAATCCCCAATTACCTCATTAGGTGCTAATTGTATACCCTGTTCTGTGGAAGGTAGTAATTGACATATTCAACTGAATAAGAACTTGTTTCTTTAAATTCAATGCCAAAAATCTATTAAAGAAAAGTGAAAATGTGCCCTATTTTCATGGTGTTTTTATACCCGTTCTTGGGCAAATATTATAAAACAAAGTAACCCATGTACATCGCCAGACAATTTCCAGTTACCCTAAATATGTTTCAGTATTCAAGGCAGCCAACTGAAGTCAGAAGTCTATAAAAAGTGGAAATATGCGCTATTCCAGAGGCTTTTTTTTATCGCTTTTCTCGGGCAAAAAAATCCTAAAACACAATAGCCAATGTACACCGTCGGAAAGTTTCCGTTATTACTGTACAAAAAATGATGGTAATCGAGCCAGCAAAGTCTGGGTGATGGATGATAACACACATAATGAATCATCTTATAGTAAGGCTCACAGTTTTAAAGTTTTATCGAATTTTCGATTCCCGTTTAAATTTTGGAGCAGTTTATATCGTAAACTCTGTATAGTTACTAAATGTGGCGGATTTCTTCTTATGAATAACAAGAAATAAAAATCGAATGTGTAGGGCAGATACTCGAAGATCACACATATACTGTTCAACAACTGTTGTCTGTTTTTGACATAATAGTAGTGCTAACTAAACGGTGTTTCAGATAGGTTTTTCATGGTATTTAACTTGAAGTTATATCCCTTAAAGGGAAAATTATCGATATGATTGAATTTCAAATCGATAACTACCGAGTAACAGCATGCCTTAACTTTAAAGCACCCATAAAGAAATAATATTATCTTATGTTTTATATATTTATAGAACTATAACTATCGATGGAATGTTTACAAAATATTACTTTCTCACCATTACTTTCAACTTGAGTTTAATATTGAGTAGTTTTATTTGCAAATGAAAGTGGATTTTTGCCAAAATTATCTGACACAACTTCAAATCAATATTGTGTATTGGATTAAAAATATTCGACTCATTTTTCACTTTTATTTCATTCAGTAGAGTCCTTAGAGAATTAGCAATCTCGGTCGTTTCTAGCTTGAATGTTATTACAAAATCTACACCTATTTTCATCATTGTTTTACAATAGTACTATGGTAACAATAGGCTCTTAGCTAATCTATACTTCATTCTATACTTTGACATTCTTCACTGTTATTGTATTACTATATTATTACACTAAGAAATACATAGAGAATGTTTGCAATCAATACGCTGTCTTGTCACTTAGCTCGTATTGAGCTTCATTCCCATTTGCTATGGCATTTTATTTAATTTTCCTAACTTCAAGCACGAGATCTATGAAACGACCAGCCCTTAAGCTCAATTGCTAGGCTACACATGATCCAGGAAACGGACAACCTCCGAGTTTGCGTGCAATCCTATGAATCCCAATACGGGACTATCCTACCGCTTCGACGATTAGTGTATTACTGTGCAACCACAAAACTATGATGACGTCATAAAAATATGTAAGTAAAAATAGTTTCTACGGGCAAATATGCATCTAAAGGCTTAGAAAGCGAAACAATCTGATTCATTTACACCTATCTATGTACTGTTGTACTAAT